ACTGCAGGAGGACTAGGCTGAAGGAGCACTGTGAATGTGGAGACCACTCAGGAGGACTAGGCTGGAGGATCACTCTGAATGTGGAGGAGATCACTGCAGGAGGACCAGGCTGGAGGATATAAAGGATGGTAAACATAGCAGCAAGTGCCTTCAGTGGCAATGGGAGGACAAACAGAGCTGCACTTTGGAAAGCCAATGCCACTGGAACAGGCTTCATAATACATCTTTTAGGCCTGCTTCATCAAATCCTGGATCCCTCATTTTTGGGCTCTGCTTCAGTCACTCCTACTGACCTGGGAACAAGATCAAGGTCTTTTGCCTCTTTACATTCCAGGGCTCTTTCTTTTGCTCCAGACAGGTAACCAGGTATGGCTTAGACACAGCAAGACCTGATTATTGGAAAACAGAACATGATACTTATTTTATTTTCTTCATAACTACTAACATATCTGACCTAGAATTAGTATTTCAGTATGAAAAAGATACATAAAAGATTTACAATAATACTCTATAACATCATTTTCCAAATGTTATTTCCCTACAGATATACAGTAATAAATTTACAATTTAAAGATTTTTAGCTCCATTTTTGCTTAGTACCCAATCACAGGTAAAGAGAGAATAATTGGACTTTAAGATGCAAATTATAACAGTTTATGCCACTCAGTTGCTATAATTACCACTAATTTTAATTTGGGATATATATTACCTGAAGAGAGATGGAAAAGATAAAGATTTTAAAATATGAATATTATCTATTTCAATACTTCTTTACCTCCCACCATTTCTCTCCTGAAATCATAGGCTCCCAAGATATACTCAGCAATGCAAGGAAAGTAAATGCAATGCTGAATTAGTAACTCTGCTGAAGTGAGCCTTACCCAAGAAGAGCAGGTTCCGATAGTTTTCCAGCATCACATCCTTATACAGATTCTGCTGTTCGGAGTTCAGGCATTCCCATTCCTCTCCAGAAAAATCGATAGCCACATCCTTGAAGGTCAACGGTTCCTGAAATAAAAATAGGCAGCACAATGACCATGTGGCCATTGACTCAATTCTTGAATTTGACCCAGGATAAAGGAGTTAGGGAGAACTACCCTTCACACAGTGGAGTGGCCTGAATGGAGACATTCCAACCTGCTGGCATTTCCATTGTATCACCTAACTCTCAAGCAAAGACAATATAAAGTCCATAGAAGCAGGGGAGATACTCTGCTTTTATAAAAAATTAAATGTAATGGCATCAACATAAGTATTTACATTTTAAAGTTCTTTTACTATAAGATCATGTATGTCTTTTTTCAGGTGAAAAGGACATGCTTATGACTTTTTGAAACACTGCTACCTCTTTTGGGGGCGGGGGTGGTAGCTCAGACCTAAAACTTTACACAAGCTAGGAAACTGATCTATAACTAAGCTACATCCCAGCCCTAAAATCAGAGGTTCTAATTCAGCAGTTCTGAGTAGGTGTCTGACAATGCAGCATACTCACTAGCAATGCCAATATTAGTGGGCCAAATACACCTCACTGACCAGCAATAAAGAAGATACTAAGAGAATTCATAAATGGATTTGAATTGAGAGTTTTAAGAAATTTACTTTTTATTGTAATAGCAGCAAGGCAACTATCCTTTCTGGTGATTTAAAAAAGACTATCACTGAATTTTTCATATGCTAATGCATAACCACCCCAACTAATCTATTGAGACCAGGGGACGTTTTTCTTCAATTATGACATTTTGTCAAACATCCATAAATGTTTTACATCCATAATGTAACCCCACCTTCACCAACTGTAGTTCAGTAATCTATGCAGGTGCACGTGTCTAAGGTCTTTGTTCCAGGCCTGGGATGATGCATGGCTGCACACAACCATGGCAACAGACACAAGAGAGAACATCAAACTCACACAAATACAGGTCATCAGGACCAGCTGAAACCCTTCTAACAAGCAGATGTACACTATAATTAAGATGGAAACAAGAAGAAACCTAAAGACAATTCAAAGGTAAGATAAGTGATAATAATAATGTGTGGTTTCCAGGAAGTTGCTTTTTTAATTTAGCCCATGATAAGAAATATAGTTTAGGTTGGATAGCAGTGGTGGCGCACACCTTTAATCCCGGCACTCGACAGGTAGAGGTAGGTGGACCTCTGTAAATATGAGGCCAGCCTGGTCTACAGAGTGAGTTCCAGGACAATCAAGGCTACAGAGAGAAACCCTGACTCAAACAACAACAACAACAAAAAAAAAACAATAAGAAAAAAAGTGTTGTATTACAACATGCCAAGTATACACTTACACATCCTTGAAAAACTGAAACAAAAATTAAACAAAATTACCTTTGCAAAGTATGATACTATGTTGTAATATTTTAATTGAATTCTATAAGTAAATTAATCAGAATTGATTTGGCCTCCAATTTAAAAAATATTGATGACCCAGCAAGATGGCTCAAGCAGGTAAAGGTGCCTGCTACCAATCCTAGCAATTTCAGTGCAATACCAGGGACACACACTGCAGAAAGGACTGACTCCTACAAGATATCCTCTGACCATCACATATGTGTTGTGGTACATATGGTACATACATGCTCCACACACATACACAAGTAATTACATATAATACAAACTTTAAAGGTGCTGAGTTAGAAAAGCAATGTAATGGTTAGGCACTGCCTCTTCCACTTCTACTTGCTGTAATACTTAACAAACTCACTAACTGGCCTGTCTCAAGCACTTCAGAATGGGCCATGTGACAATCCCCTGAGACACGTTTCCATTTGGATAGCTTGTGCTCAAATCTCCGCACAGATCCCTGAACTCTAAGGCAGAGTCTAACCCTGAAGGCCTGGGATTGTTTCTACAAACCTGTCTTTCAGCTGTTTAAAAGCTGCGCTCTGAAGCCAGCGGTTCTGTAAGCTACATTCTCGTGGCTCATTTTTTATGTTAACAGTATATTATTAGTATGTGTTGAAGACATCTCTTCTCAGCACTGAGTTGGTGCCTGTAGTCCACCTTTTGGGTAATATTTACTTATGAAAAGGTGACCATTACAACAGAGGGAAGATTCCCAATGGTGTAAATTTAGGTCAATATCTGTGATCAAGTCTACAGCATTTTTGAAAATCAGTAATTATTAACGTTCTGCAGTAAACTTGGGTGTTGGAATATCCTTATTTCTAAACTTAAAATAAATACACAATTTACAACGTTGTAAAGATGAGCAAAATGTGTAAATACTGTCAGGTCCAAAGCTTCCTTCCCCAAAATGGCAGTGCTGGTGACGTGTCCTAAACAGGACTTTGGCCAGGTAGACAGAAGGGCTGTTAGTGGTGGACAGACAGAAAGACTGTTAGTGGTGGACAGACAGAAAGACTGTTAGTGGTGGACAGAAGGACTGTTAGTGGTGGACAGACAGAAGGACTGTCAGTGGTGGATAGAAGGACTGTTAGTGGTGGACAGACAGAAGGACTGCTGGTGGACAGAAGGACTGTTAGTGGTGGACAGAAGGACTGTTAGTGGTGGACAGAAGGACTGTTAGTGGTGGACAGAAGGACTGTTAGTGGTGGACAGAAGGACTGTTAGTGGTGGACAGAAGGACTGTTGGTGGACAGAAGGACTGTTAGTGGTGGACAGACAGAAGGACTGCTGGTGGACAGAAGGACTGTTGGTGGTGGACAAGCCTAAAGGGTGCTGTTCACTGGAAAAGCAGATCTTGAAAGGTTTTTGTCTACCAGGAGCTCCCACAAAGTGCACCGGTTTGTCCAGAGGCCTCCCTGTGCCCTTTTGGGTGGGGACCATCATGAGGAGGAAGGACATTCCTCCACTGATCCAGGTCATCTCTTTGACACATCTTTAGGTCCACCTAGGGACACCCCAAATTAAAATTCTTGTCACCTGGACACTTCCTCCCCTTCTTCTGGTCCTGGCCGCCTCCTCACCTGGTGTCTCAGCTCCTCTTGGAGCTTGCTCTCTAGCCATGGCTGACCACCCATCTCTCCTCTCTTCCCCTCCTCCAGGAGCTGCCTGCTCCGTCTGTGTCCCTCTCACTGGATCCTTCTGATTCTCTCAGCTCCTGAAGCCTACTCTACAGAAGTCCAGCAGGTACTCAGGGCAGCTTCTCTAAGACCTACTGGGCCTCTAAGATAATGGAACCTCCCTCTGATGGAATTCCTATTCCCAACACTTTTCCCTCAGCCTCTCCCACCTCCTCTTCACTCACTTCTGAAAGACGTCTTCTGTCCTGCTTGCCCTTTCTCTCAGCACCCATAGCCAACTGCGGCTTTTCCGGTCACACAGACCCCTCACCTGCCTCCTCTAGTCTCTTTCCTCCTTAGACTCGGGGACCCCATTAAAGCCTTACTGTCCTACTGCAAATAGTTTGGTCTCCGTACAGACTAGACAATCACTCTCCATGGCCAGAAATTGGCCAAATTCTCAGCTTGTGACAACTTCTGCCACCACACAAATGATCTGAAAGTCCCCCTTTCTCTAAGCTTTCTCTGCTTGTCCCAAAAATCTTATCCTCTGGGCCTTCTTTGCTCTAAGCTGCTGTGGCCTCCTCCCTCTGACCATGATATTCGTTGTTAAAGATTCAAATCTCTGGGGTGGGAGAGATGGCTCAGTGGTTAAGAGCACTGGCTGCTCTTCGAAAGGTCCTGAGTTCAATTCCCAGCAACCACATGGTGGCTCACAACCATCTGAAATGAGATCTGATGTCCTCTTCTGGCCTGCAGGCAGACACACAGACAGAATACTGTATGCATAATAAATAAATAAATATTAAAAAAAAGATTCAAATCTCTTTGGCATATAGATAATACTAAAAAATGGTTTTGTATACTATTCTACTAAATGGGGGACTCTGGAGTTGAGTTATGGCGTCTCTCCAGACCCAAGCACGCTCATTTAGAAGCTTCCTACAAAGTCTCTGTGTCCGGGGTCCGGCTGGAGAAGGAAAGCAAAGAGAAACGGCCGGGAAACGGGAAAGACGCCATGTGCTTCGGAACACTAGCGTACTACGCCCACTAAGGGTTACCACCGCTCACCTCACCCCGTTCTTGGTTTTACTGAACTTTCTGAATACTCCCTTCTCTTCTATCTCTAAAACTTTTGCTGAAGTACAAACTTCATCTCAAGATTTATAAGACCACTGTGCAAACTTCCTGTACCTCAGGATTTTTAAGTTTGCTTGGTGTATTTTTTTTAAGGTCTGTAATAAAAAGCTTAAAACTTGTAACAGAAAAAGTTGATAGGAAAAAAATCTATACATAGGTAATCTTAACTTACTAAAACACACTTATATGTAACTTTGATTCAACTCTTGTTTAGAAAAATAGATGTTTATAAAAAGCAAAAAAAAAAAAATGTGCCTGATGGCTCACTTTGTAATAAATAGCCACCAAGTGGCTGGCAGGCATGGGATCTTGGTTAAGGTGACCATGTGGTACAAACCAACTAAGGCAGCACCCACAAAACTTTGTGAGCTACTGAGCCCCTGCTTGTCACTGTACTCCTAGCTGAGATTAAAAATGCAACACCAGGCCTCCGAGATATTTAGGATTAGGATGGATTTTGCATGGAGATTGTTTTGTTCTGAGGGTAAAAAATAACAGATGAGAACAAGAGCAGGAACGAGGCTCCTGGAACAGGCCCTAAAAACATGTTTGATGATTGGGAGTTATGAATTCCTAACATCACAAGGTCTACTCAGGTTAACAGAAACCTATTTAAAGATGTATGTCTAACTACTTATGTCTTTGCTAGCTGTGTTCGACACAGGTTTCTAAAAACTTTTTTTTTTTTAGATAAGGAACATGTTTGATGAATAAGGTTTATTAATTCCTAAGGTCCATTCAGGCTAGCAAAAACTAACCTGAAGATGTATGTCAGCCTCTTTGTCTTTGCTAATTGTTTAAAGCTTTAGCTATTTGGATAAACTGACTCATACAAGAAATTGTGTCATTCTACAAAGGTACACTAAGAAAGGACCAGGGGGCTGAAGAGATGGCTCAGAGGTTAAGAGCACTGCTTGCTCTTCCAGAGGTCCTGAGTTCAATTCCCAGCAACCACATGGTGGCTCAAAATCATCTGTAATAAGATTTGGCACCCTCTCCTGACCAGGAGGCATACATGTAGACAGAACACTATATACATAATAAATAAATATTTTTAAAAAGAGAAAGGGCCAGGAAAGCAAGGCTCTCAGCCTCTCTGTGAACTATACTTATGGTTTAAAGTTTTATCTTGATGCTAAAGGATCTTCGATTAAATCTCTAAATGCAATTTTTCAGGCTCAAACTTAACAGGAATAAAACTGCAAAATCCTAATCTTATAAAAGCCAATAACTTGTAAACTGTTAAAGACAATTAAGACATGCAAGTTACAGTCAGTTACCACATAAATGATTAGTCTTTTTATGCTGAGTACAAGTGTGATTCATTTATAGGGACAACCTTTAGTCTTCTGAATATGTTGTCAAGACTGAGCCAAAAACAAGTAAAGTTTGTTAAAAAAAAAATCAGGTATACTTAACAAATTCAATGACAGCCATCAAATCTCTCAGACAGAGACAGAAAGAGAGAGAGAGAGAGAGAGAGAGAGAGAGAGATCTGCTGACAAACATTTGAGGTATTTATTGAAAAGAAAAGCTTCCTGTGGCAGACGGAAATGGAGCTGCAGTTCCTGACAGCCCTAACATCGTCTTTGAGAATATGGGGCAATGGACTTCACCTGGAATGTGGCTCAAATGTGATCATCGGATGCAGAACTGCCCTTCAGTTTGCCATTTGCCAGAACCCTGCCAAAACCATGGAAAAGTGGGACACTGAAAAAAAATCTGCCTTTCCTGGCCTTGCCAAGGTAGGTCAGTTCCCCAAGTACCTCCTCTTGAGAAAAGTTTCTTGGATTTTCTGGGCCTGGTGGCCAAAGACTGACTGACGCTGCCCAAAGACCTCTACCCCCCAAAAAAGCCACCGAGATTACCAAGGAGGAGCTCAGGCAGTCCATCCAGATAGAGGGTAAGTCTTATCATTCTTAATTGATATAGAGGCCATTTGGTCTCTAATTCCTACTCAGATATATTCTTCTCAGTGCTATGATGGGGTCAGGCAGTTTAGCTGACCTCAGCCAGCCCCTCCCAGTAGGCTACAGCTGCCAGATCAGTCCAATCAGAGCTAGAAAGTCTGTTTCACCTTAGGAACATCTCGGTTTTACAGTAACTTGGGGGTACAACAGTTATACGTGTTATTTGCTGATGGTACAAATTTTAAATACTCTAAATAAAAAGGTTTTTCAGTCTGAGGCCTGATCAGGCCATTGCTTTTCTTAGGGTCCCCTGCTGAGAAAGGCAGACTTGCAGACAGGTTTGCCTTGCTGACAGGATTCATGCTGAGAAAGATAAACGCAGAAAACAAGAAAACTTCCATGTTTTTAAAAAGATACTTTTTACTATCCCTTTATTTAAAGAACTTGCTTTTTAATGACTGCTCTCAGTAATCAAACACCTCAGTGGCCCTTGCTGCCACAACTGACAACCTAAACTTGGCCCCTTGAACTGACATTATGGAAGAACAGAATCGAGCCCTCCCTGCAAGTTGTCCTCTGACCTCACAAGAGCACCAGGGCTGGCAAGTACCTGTCCCGCTCAGAAGATTAAACAAATGAAAAAGAAGAAATGATAAAAGAAAAATGAAGCAAGAAAAACTGGGTACACGCACGCTCAGGAGCCCTACCCCAGAAGTAATGGCAAAAGGACCGGGAAGCGGAGACCCCTTCATCTCCAGGACTGGTTTACAGAACACACTTCCTAGGACTACTTGGCATCCTAGATTCATTCGAACACACTTGCACAAAGGATTTAATTAAGCAAACATCAGACCTCCCGCATCCTAAGTACAGAATACTACCAAAAAGCTGAAATAGCTGAAGTGCGCTTCAGAGGAGGCTCTCCCGAGGCTCAAGACATCTAGCGGCTCCCTACGATCTATGCTGATACCTCAGCTGCTAAGATTCCGGAGCCCAGACACTGATATACACACTGGATGCTCTCAGACACCAGAGACACGGCAGATGGTGTCAGGCATCTCTGAAACCGGGGCAAGGAAAGGGGTGGAGAGCGAGATGAGGGCAGGCCCATCACTACGTAAATCTCCAAAGGGGAAGCTCAACCCCAAAGCATTCTGATTGGGTTCCTATGTCTAAGGAAGACAAAAGGAAAGGCATTAAGATTTTTAAAATGAAGCGTCCATTGATTTTATGTGAACTATCCCCAGAGGAAACCCTTTAAAAAGTGTCACCCGGTATGTGGAGGAAAAATAAATAAATCAAAACCAATCAACCAAAACCTATGCCTACTTGGAATGCAGCATGGGAAATGGGTGTTAATATTGTTATTATTTTTAAAGTCAGCGGTTGGAAATAGAGTCGGGAGATGCAAATTCAGGAATCTTCCGCCGCCCATGAGAGAAGCGAGGTTAGGGGAAGTGCAGGCATCTGGATGTTAGGTTCTGCTTCGCGTGTATTTGGAACGCACGGGCGGAGGGACCGGCCACCACACAGAACACAGCTCCTTCCACTGTGGGAAACCCATACCGAGGCTGGCACATACCCTAACCCCGGCGATCCTGGTCATCGCCACCCAACTCGGGCTGCTGGACCGGAGCGCTGAGGACTCCAGCGGGGAGCAAGCAGGACTCCAGCGGGGAGCAAGCAGTCCTCCAGCGAGTCATCCGTCAGGGCGGCCTTCGCCCACCGCCCAGCAGCTCCGGGGCGCGGCAGGACACGGAGGCCTCCAGCACACCTACGGGGGACTCGACCCCGCCACCCCCCAGTGCCGTCCGAGGAGGGCGGGGCCGCCATAGCTTCCCTCCGGGAGCAGAGTCCCTCAGCTCCGCACTCGCTGCGCCACGCACACACTCGGCAGCTCGCTCTCCGTGCCCTCCGTCCTCCCTCCCCGACGGGCGACCGCAGCCGGTTCCCACCGGCTTCACACAGCCTCCCTCCGGTGTCGGGGCGCCATGCACACTCACCATTGTGGCCCGGCGTCTGCGGCGCCCGAGTCCTCTCGTGATGGCCCGGCACCCGCCAGATGCAGGGCAGACGGATGCGGCGGGGCCGAGCGAGCGTCCACACCGGAAGAGACCCAGCCTGAGCAGGATTCCAAGATCCTGGACTTCAGAAACAAAACGTGAAAGCCCGCCCCCGCCACCCTTTCTAAACGTCTGATTGGAAGGTCTGACTATCGGGATGCTACTGATTGGATGACTTTCAGGTCCCGCCCCATCAAGCCCCAGCACTACCCTAGGAAGCTGGAATGACAAGTCGTAGTAAAGCTGACCCTAAAGGGGACATTTGTATTTAATATTGTATATAAGAGCATACCGATTTATGAATCGTATATATGTATATTATTCTCAATAGAAAGAACTTCGTGACAATTTTTTTTCTGAGTTTTGTTCCTGAACTCTAAATTTTAAAATGAGAAGCAATCCCCTGAATCAGCAATATTCAATATTACACACGTGTAATATTAAAACTTCTAGTATTAATATTAAAATTAAAACAGGTAACAGTGATTGTAATAAAATCCAGTATATCCAAAATGTTATCATTATGCGAAATTGCTGCTACTGAGATATATATATATATATTATATGCATATGTACATATACACATGTATTATTACTGATGTATATATACACATTATAAGAAATACTGCGTATATATACAAGAAATACTGTGTATACACACACACACATAAATTTTGGTTATTGTACTAAATTGTCAAGATTCATCAAGTTTTCAGCAGGTTTCAGTTCAAGCTGGTCACATTCCTCCTCTGAGGGCTATGACTTTTCTGACCTCTAAAAGGCGAGGCGCCTGAGAATTTCTCCCATTTATGTCAGAGGTGAAGAAATACAATTCCCTGCCAATATTTCTCTTAGGTCCCAGTGCATGGGAGTAACAGGGTCTTAAAAGAGAGCAGAGGCTCCAGCCAGGAGGGGTCCCCAGGTGAGCATGGGAGGAAAGCCCACGTTTCCTGATCCTTCTACAGACTTGCCTCTGTAGTTTAAATGTATTAAAAGCAAAACTGATTTTGTTTTGTTTTGTTTTCAGTTTGGCCTTGGACCTAACTGACAGGCTGTGGACATCTGTGCTCTCCTGTGATGTGGAGGACTGTGTAAACGTAAGAAGCCAACCATATGCACAAATGACTGCAAATTTTCTCGTATAATTCAACACCATCTACGAAGAGATCCAACTTTAATTAGTGGGAAGGGAAATTAATGCATTCATAGCAGCTACCATTTGCCACATAATTTACAATTAAAATATCATTAAGTCATGGCATCGTGCCTATAAGGGCACATTACTTTTCTGTCCCTGGATAACAAACCACTCCAAAACTTAATTGTTGGTGACTGGGTTGCCCCGCAATAGAGGTTCAGCTGGGCCACTTCTGGTGCATCTGATAAGTGAGTGGCTGTTATGATGGTACAGCCACAGAAGGGTGAGCTGGCTATCAGCCAAGGCATCTTTCCCAACACCTCATGATATCTCATCATTCCGGCAGGCTGAGGTGTCTTGACAGAAAGATGAAAAGCATTCGAGACCATTCCAGTCCAGATGTCAGACTAATGCACTTGAATAGACACAAGGTTATGTGAGCCATGGCCAAAAGAGACCAACTCAGTTGCAAAGCATAGAAGCAGACACCACCGTCTGATGGGAGCTAGAGAAAAAGCATGTTGCCTAGGTTGTGGCTGCAGGGAAGAGCGAAGACATGTTGACATTTCTGCATTCAGGATCATTATGCCTCTTCTTATCAATGAGGTTCAACTGTTCCAAGTCAAGGAGTTTACCCAAACAAGGCTGGAATTCCACAAGTCTTCCTGCCTTCCAAAGCCCAAATCCTTACTCTAGAGCATGTGATCCACCCCACCTATATGGTCCTCCTAGAGCTTGAATACCGACCTTAATCACGAGAGAGGGCCTTGTGTCCAGGAACAATATAGTCCTCATTATTCGGAATGGTCTTTTCGACAGAGTATTTCTCCAGCTTCTCAGAGGGCCTAAAATAATTTGGAAAAATGTTTTTCTAAAAAAAAATGTGAGAAAAATTTGAGAAATCAAGAACCAACATACATTTTCATTTCTCATCACAAGAGAAATTTGAAGACACATATAATGTACCCCACAGGCATGAACATTCTTTTTGCCTTTTTTTTATTTTTATTTTTATTGGTATTTGTAGGAGTTTTTTTCTTTCTGATGCAGGCAGGATGAGATTGCTATGCCCGAAACAATATCTTACTACGAAAACAAGTGGCTCACAGACATATGGAGTGTCTGCTGAAATAGATAGGCCTGAATTATTTATCTTATCTTAGTTTAATTTTAGTCAGTCATAAGCATCTAGAAATTTATCTTTTTCTTTTAGATTTTACAGTTTAGTGGAATATATGTTTTTAACATATGTCCTGAGGATTTCCTGAATTTCACTGGGGCTCAGCTTAACTGAGTGGCTGGCTCCCAGCACAGCCGTCTCTGAGGCGGTGTTGTTTTCATGGCATACCTGCTGCCCTGGCGATCTCCCAGCATGCTGGCTCCCAAGTAGCTGTTCACGGTACCTCCACTTTGGGTAAGTTGTGGTTCAACATCTAAATATCCTGTCTTTCCCATTGTAATAGATTCTATGAAGATTCCTCCAACATGTGCGGTTTGCTGTCTGCCTTAACCAGGACTTGGTACTATGTGTGTACTTTTAAATCTGAATAATTACTATCAGGCCACGTTCATTTTTTAATTTGATAGATATATGTTAGATTTTCTGCTTTCATTATATGTCTTTTACATATTTTAGGTATTCTTTTATATTCTGTACTCTATGCATGCATATATACTCATGCATAAACACATAAATACATACTTTAAAATCTTAGATCTTTCTACAGTCACACAGTATCATTTCCATTATGGTTTTTGACCTTTTGCTTTTCTCTGAAAAGTATGCTTTATATTAAGAATGGCAAACTTCATTTAGTCCTGAAATCATATCTTTAAACAACTTAAACTTTAAAATAAGTATATCTATACAAAATTTCAAGTCATACAGTATTCTTTTCACAATGATTTTGCCTATATACTTATCCAAAATCAAAACTGAGATAAAATTGACTATTTGACATCTTTTGCAGTGGCTGGCAGCAGCCCTAGCCAGCCCTGCCCCAGCCTTTTTCTGCCTGAAAATTAATGAGATTTTTTGTTTACTGTAGAATATACCAATAGGAACCTTCTTGATCAAGAAAATTATACCCCCATTTTTGCAAGAGTAGAAGCACTGTCAGCTGCTGAACCATCTCTCAGCCCCATTACATCTTTTTACTACATGGTTTTAATCTCAAATCTTTTGATCAGTTTCTGTTCATTCTGTTTCTTCATTTTATTCTCTAATCATTCAATCTTTGTATTAAGGGTCTATCAGGAGAGTTTTTTTTGTCAAATCCTGCTTTGCACATAATAAAATGATTACAAGAATTTAGACTTTATTCTCTTAATGTGATGTGGGATATTTATTTGTTTACATATGTTGCCCCATTGCTACATCCCAGAAATAAATACTATTTTATCATTGAGGATGATTTTTTTTTAAAACTCACTACAATTTTTCTATCTATCTATCTATCTATCTATCTATCTATCTATCTATCTACCTATCTATCTATCTATCTGTGGGTATGTGTGATAAGGCACATGTGTGGAGGTCAGTGGACAACTTGTGGTTGTCAATTCTCTACTCCCAGTGTGGGACTCAGGTTGTCAGGGTTGGCAGTAAGTGCCTTTACCTGCTGAGCCATCACAATAGCCCATAGCTGATAATTCTTTTAATGTTCTGTTGGATAAAGTTTACCATGTATTTTTGTTTAGAGTTTTTGTATGTGGGTTCATTAGAAATATTGCCTCTAATTTTTTCTTGTATTGTCCTTCTTTTGCTTTGATATGAGGGTATTGTTGGTTTTTATAAAATTAGATTAGTGTCTCTTTTTATAAACCTATTTATGTAATGTGTATGGGTGTTTGTCTGCATGTATGTTTGTCTGCATGTATGTTTGTGCTTCACATGCACACCCAGTGTCCTCAGAAGCCAAAAGAGGGCATTGTTAGGTCTCAGAAACACTGAGGTGCCTATGAACATATCAAAGGGGACACTGGTCAGTTCTCCCAGCATCACTAAGTACCTGTGACTCCCCCAGCACTTCTCATCTCTACCCCCTGGGGGCGGGGCTTCCATTTCCCTTCCCCTAGCCAGATCCTTATACAATTTAGCCATTTTGGCTAGTCCAATCTGATGGCCCAGGCTGCCTCTCTTGGTCAGTGGCTCCTCTCTTGCTCTCCTTCCCTCTTTCTCTTCTGGTCTATCTTGCTCTCTATTTTTAAGAGTTTAAGAATGACTGCAGTTAATTCTTTAAGTATTTTGTAGAAATTACTAGAGAAAACCTCAGACTCTGGGCTTTTCTGTGGTAGGTAAGAGTTCTTCTTATTATTTAGTCTTCTTACTGGTCTGTCATTTTCTACACCTGAGTATGTGGCAGAGCCAAGGTTCCTCCATCTTGTCTCAGCTGGAGCCATCTTTGGTTTAACCTGAAATAACCCCCAACTCCCATTTTCAACATGAAAAATCCCATGAGAAAGTACAAAACCCTGTTCTAGTCCCTCAGGATCTGAATGTCCCAGCTAACTGCGTACTGTTTGGGGCTTTTTAAAAACTACCTCCTTGCTTCATTCCCCCTGCAACTGGCAATCATGAAGTAATTTTTCTGTGATTTTGTCTTTAAAAGCTTCCTATAAGATACATTCCAGGCCACTCTGTGTCTTTCAGGTGTCCAGGCAGTCAGCACGGATTAACACAGACTCTGAATTCAGACTTTGGTCGTGCTGAGTGGCCTCTACCACAGGACATGTGGAGGTCCCATCAATAGCCTTTTAAGACCCTCTCCACTTTGACCAACCCTTGAAGTC